AACCGCTTCCACCTTTCCTAGGTGGGTTTCCCAGTCGGGGGTGTGAATAACCATATCATCCAGGTAGCCGCTGCATAATTGGTATGGGGCTGTAGGAGCTTGTCCATAAGACGCTGGAAGGTGGCAGGTGCCCCATGCAGTCCAAAAGGAAGAACAGTATAATGAAACAGACCCTCTGGTGTAGAGAATACCGTCTTTTCTTTCGCATCTTTGGCAAGGGGAATCTGCCAGTATCTTTTTGTTAAATCAAGGGTGGTCAAAAATCGGGCATTGCCCAGGCAGTCAACTAACTCATTGATATGGGGTATGCATCAAATATGGGTATCTCATTCAGCCGGCGAAAGTAATTACAAAACCTAGTGGTGCCATCGGGTTTGGGCACCAGCACAATCGGGCTTGACCACTGACTGTGGGACTCTGCGATGGCTCCCAGCTCCAACATCCTTTTTACCTCTGCCTTGATCTCCTCCCTTTTTGCTGCTGGGACCCGATAGGGCCTTAAAGTTACCTTTGCCCCAGGGTCTGTGATAAAGTGGTGATATGCTTCTGTGGTCCGGCCTGGTTTGGTTGAAAACACGTCTTGGTATCTGTTGATCATCTCAGTTACCTCCTTCTTCTGGTTTGGTGTCAGATCAGTGGATATCCTGATCTGCTCCTGCATATTATTTTCCTGGATCGGGGTCTCTTGGGCCACTACACACGCCTCTCGTTGGTGCCAAGGCTTTAAGAGGTTAATGTGATAAATTTGTTCTTGTTTCCGGCGTCCTGGCTGCCACACCTTGTAGGCTACTTCCCCCACAGGTTCAACGACCTCATAGGGCCCCTGCCATTGGGTCAAAAGTTTGCTTTCTGCCGTGGGTACCAACACCATCACCCAATCCCTTGGTTGGAACTGTCGGACTTATGCCTGGCAATTGTAATGGGTTTGCTGGGCCTCCTGCGCCTTTCCCAAATGTTCTCATACAATAGGGGTGACCCGGGCTATCCGTTCTCGCATCTGCAACACATGGTCAATTATATTTCTCCCCTCATTGGGTTCCTCTTCCCAAATTTCTTTTGCAGTATCTAGTATGCCATGGGTTGTGGCGTCCGTACAATAATTCAAATGGGGGAAAACCCAGTTGAGGCCTGAGGTACATCACAGATTGCAAACATAAGGTAGGGTGTACCAATCCTTCCCGTCTTGATTTACCACTTTCCTTATTGCCTTGAGGGTTTGGTTAAACCTTTCTACTAGCCCATCGGTCTGCAGATGATAGACTGAAGTTCTCAGGGTATGTATATGGAGCAGCGTACAGAGGTCCTTCATTAGCTTCGACATAAATGGGGTACCTTGGTCTGTTAATATCTCCTTTGGTAGCCCCACTCAGGCAAAGATCCCCACCAACTCTTTAGCTATCATTTTAGAGGCCGTGTTCTGCAGGGGGACAGCTTCTGGGTAGCGAGTAGCATAATCCAGAACAAGTATATATTGGTGGCCCCGGGCTGTCTTCTCCAGGGGTCCCACTAGATCCATGGCTATTCTCTCGAAGGGGACCTCTATCATGGGAAGGGGTACTAAAGGTGCCCTCAAGTGGGGACGGGGACTGTGCAGCTGACACTCCGGGCAGGACGCACAGTACCTCTGCACTTCTTCGTATACTCTGGGCCAGAAGAATAATCACAGGACCTGTGCCAGGCTCTTCTCTACCCCCAAATGCCCCCCCAAAAGATGACAATGGGCCAGACTTAATACAGCATTCTGGTGTTTTTGAGATACTAGGATCTGCTGTACCTTCTGCCCCTGTACTGGTGCAACCTGGTGTAAGAGATTCTTCTTCATTATGAAGTAGGGTCCTGGTCCCTGGGTTTTCCCTTCCACGGGGACCCCACCTATTTCAGTCACCTCCTTCCTAATGTTGTCGTACCTTGGGTCTTCAGCCTGGTACTGTCCAAAATTTTCTCTCCTGGGGCTAATATGCCCAAGATCTAAGGGGCCAGTCTCTGTTGCCTCTACTGGTTCAGAGGCGAAAGGGTGTGGGTCAGACTTGGGTGCTTCTCCCTCCTGGGTGGCCTCCTTTGCAGCTGCTCGGGTCCGCCTACCTATGAGAGCAATCCTCTGGCTTTGGGCCAGTATTCGGGTTCCCAAGGCCTTAGCTGCCCTTCTTTCCCTTTCTGTTTTTCTACGCTGACTGGGAGTGGATAACAAATCGGGGGATATTTCAGAGAAGGTTGGGGGTTGCCAGTCTACTGTGGATGCCTCATTACTTTCAGGGCTTGCCCCTTTCTCCAATTCTCCTACCGGGAGTAAGTCTCCAAACCCTGGGAAGTCCCTCCCGATGAGCACTGGGTATGGGAGTTTAGGGACTACACCTGCTGCTACCTCAGTAGTGTTCCCCTGAATCTCGATTTTTTTTTATTGGGATGGTGGGGTAATAACCAACTGTCCCATGGACGCATGTTATCCCCATACGCATAGCCCACAGCAGCTGACTGCGCTTCACGAGCTTCCCCGAGACAAGCGTGATAGCACTCCCCGAATCAACCAGTGCTGTGGTCTCTACCCCATTTAGCTTCACTGGTCTAGTATACATATGTGGGGTTAGTGAGACCCCCCACAAGGTGGATTTGGGAGCATGGGTCTGCCTAGTTCCCCAGGTTACACTACATAGGCTCCTCGGCATTGGGACACTGTGCAGCTGTGTGTCCCTACTCCCCGCAGGCAAAACATCTGTATGGAGCCCTAGGCATTCCCCGGTCTCTTAGTTTGGGTAGTCTAACATCACGATCCTCTTCCCCCTCAGTGCTTCTGGTGGGCCTTCAGCCCCTCTCTTTTTCCACCTGGGTTCTCCTGGTGGCCCAGTCACCCGAGCGCTAGGGCATGGTGCTGCTAGTTTAACCCGGGGTGCTTTTTCCTTAACTGGTCGGGTCAGCTCCCTCGCTGTCCTTCGCCTTTCTACCAGTGTGACCACCTCGTCATAGGTGGAAGGTTCGTTCTGGCTTACCCAGGCACGAAGGTCTGGCGGTAGTCCCCTCATGTACCAGTCGATGACCAGAACCTCTAGTATCTCCTCCAGACTCCAGGACTCGGTTCGTAACCACTTTCGTGCGAGATGGATGAGGTCATATAATTGGGACCGCGAGGTTTTGTTTTCCTGGTTCCTCCACTCATGATACTGCATTCAGTAGAATAAAAATACCCTGATGAACCAGAGAGAAAAACATACCAAAAGTATCTTTGGGCTAAATGAGCAAGGGAAAATGGTTCATGAGTATAGTTGCTGACTGTTTCAAACAGAAGGGGTAAATTAAATTACATAGGATGTTACACCATTTATTAAAGGTTCTCATCCTTTTTTGGTGGAGCTGTAATTCATGCTTTACCTAGCAGTTGTTGCTAGGCTGGCAGGCAGTTTTTATCGCTCTGCATGAAGGCAAACTTGGACTTGTGGTCTTTGGCGAAAGCTATTTGGAAGGAAATCTGGAGTGTAAAGAGTAGAGGAATATGTCTGAACCACAAATAAATGTGACATAGTAATGTGGGTAGGCATACTTGTGCTAACTTCAGTCTAGAAGGGTTGGAATGACTGGAAGAGTGGTGCATATATTTGTTGACTGTTTTACCCATGCATAGCTTGCAGTAGCCATAGTCCCAGGAGGGCTTGTACTGCGGTAGCTTTCCCTCCCCCCCATCCGCCACATCCTCACTACCTACCACTGTTACCCACACTAGTTAGATTAAAGCTAGTGTGGGTATAGTTGCCTGCGCTGCAATTGCACTTACACATGTAGTGTAGACGTACCCTAAGGCTGACTGGTGGTACTCACAGTTAAAATGCAAAATTATATTTAGCCATCAGGGAAGTGTCCACAGCTAGAATCTAGGAAAAACAGCCACGAAGGCCATTCAGAGTGATGACAAAGGTAAGAAGCTTGAGTTGGAAGCTCTTAGGAGCTTTGTGGCTACGTTACGAGAATGATTGATTGAATGTGAAAAGGTTGCTGTCAATTGCAATCACTAAACGGTCAAATCTGTAGAAGCCTGAATACAACCAAACTTTAAATGACACAGTGAAGTTTTTGTAAAGGGCATTTCTGAGGATGATCTCTAAACTTATGTAATTGAGATCAATGACTTCAAATCAACCAAACTGGTTTCTTTATAATTACTGTCAGACAATTTCTGTGGTTTACCAAAACTTTTCAGGTCCTCTGACTTGCAGTTAGTTGTGAGGTGTTAGAGCATAGGTTTCTTAATGAGCATAAACGATATGAATGCCAAAAGACCATGAATTGAACTCTGCAAACTGTCAGGCATTCTTTGGCTGTTGCAGTATGTTTCTCTTGGACTGTTAGGCCAGGAGGACTGTACCCTACCTGTGACTATGATACTTGTGTGTGGAAATCACATAACTTTGAACAGTTTTGTACCATCCTACTGAGAACAGCTGGACATGTGTGAATGATGTGAAGAACAACCTACCTACCTGAAACTAGCATGGTCCTTCTGGCCTTAATTTTGGATTACTGTTGATCTTAGGTTTATCTCAATCATAAAAGTTAGACAGAAAAGTCCTGCTAGATCTGTCCATATCCCTGCTGATGTAAGACTTCCTTAAAACATAGTATATTGGGCTTCCATATCACTGCATGTTAAAGATGTCATTTTATATTAACATGCTGTGAGTGTAAGATTAGAAATCTTTTCTCTAATTTAAAATATATTCCAGTTCACATGGCCAAAGTGTACTTGCCATGTGAGTTTGAATCACATTACTGATCAGACTCAGTCCAGTTTTAAACTACTACAAATCTGCAGTTGTCAAATCTATAGGCACATTAAGAAGTAGAATTTAAACAATATTTTAAATGTTATTTATTGTGTGTGGTGATAGTGAATTTGTGAAATCTCCTTTAGGGACATGTACTTTTTTAAAATTTAATTTATTGCGTGTATTTCACATACATATCATATATATAATTTCTATATATACCTCTGAAAACTTTTTTCTTCATTGAAGGTCCAGATCAAGAAGACATTCTCACAGACGTTACACTCGCTCCAGGTCCCATTCTCATTCTCATTCGCATAGGAGACGATCTCGAAGCAGATCGTACACACCCGAATATCGTCGCCGAAGGAGCCGCAGTCATTCTCCAATGTCTAACCGAAGAAGGCACACTGGCAGCAGAGTATGTGGTATTAATCAAGGCTGAGTATTTTAAATAAATGATGTAAGGTATCGCTCGCTGTGGACATTTCTATCATAAGGGAGGCTAGTTTCTTTTTTTAAAGTGCTTATGAGTTTACTGTATTTTCTTTGTGTATGTGGATGAATAAGGCAAGAGAAACTCCAGGAGATGTCTGCCTCTAAGCCTGACTGAAGGAGTAAGAGATTTCTGGATTGGTTATCCATGCATAGCTTGCAGTGTACTGTGTTCAGGGCACTTGTGACTATTCATGTCCAATAACAGCTAAAGAAGGGCTATGATTAGGATGCATTTCTTGTGCCGCCTTCTTGAGGGAGGTGCTCTATGGGCTCTCGTCTTGGTGCATCTGGAGTTAATCAGTTCTGCTAAGTGCTTTGGCTGGATGGGATTTGGGAACATAATGTAGGAATCTGCCTATATAATGATTCCAGCCGGAGGAGTAAAGAATCTAGCCTTGCCACAAAGTCTCATCTGCAACATGATAGCATGTAAGGGGGAACAAATCTGTTGGCATTGAATGAATAAAAGTGGCATGGATTTTTGAAGAATAAACATTGTTATAAGTTTTTTAAAATAAACTACACTTTTATTTAGCTACAGTGTAAACATTAGTTTATTATGTATACTTATGAAAGGCAATATCTAAGTATATCAAAGCACTTTACAAACAAACCAAACCCCTATTTTAAAGACAAGCAAGGGGGGATAATAGAGGGATTAAAATTATTTACCTAAGATTAGACATTACATTGGTAGGATAGGATCATGATTCCTGGTTCTCTACTTAAACCCTTAGACATTATTTCCTATGAAAGATATCTAGACTTCTCTGACACACTTGAATATGCCTCAAATTAATTTTTATCTAATGAAATTTCACTGTATTGGACAAATACAAAATTAAAAGGAATAAAAGATGACAGGATGTAATTAAGGAGTAATTCTGCATCTTGCTTGACTTGACCATCTTGTCTGAATTAACTGTTTGGCAGGACTTCTTGAAATGTCAGTGTAGGAATTGATTTTAGCCTATTTTATCAATGATCTGGGGATGAATTAATTAGATTTGCAGATGACCATGCCAAATGGAGTTGTATACACTTAAAATATTGAGAATACATGTTTAAATAACGCTTAGAAAAATTGGCTGGAATTAATAATAAAATTTAGGAAATATGCTAGTTATCTTCTTAAGTGAGGGCTGAAAGGAGAGGCAAGAGTAAATTCTGCTACTACTTTAGAAAAGACAGTGCAAATCATTCCTCTTCAAAAAGGTCTTTCTACCATAAGAAAGGCACTTACAGCACTGATTCCCCCCCCCCCCCCGCCCCCTTCAACCCAGGTAAAACTCCTAGAGTCTCCAAAAAGGTAAATTTATAAAGTCTAAAAAATTGAAAACAAAAGGCCCAAGTAGAATTTTTTTCTTTATGTGGACAAGTGCCAGAGATGCTATCAAAAACACTAGGAATTTCACTATTCCCGTTGGTTTTACGTGAAAGGTTTCTCACATACTATGGTGATGGGAGGCAATATTAAATTAATCCCTCCTGTAACAGGGATTGTAACCTATTGCATAAGTTTGCAATGTGATACAGTGGCATAGTTATTGTTATATCTAGCTGTCTGTTTCGCACGTTAGAAAGGTAATAGCAATGGTTGAGCCATCTTTGGGATACTATGTGCAAATAGGAGATTTACAGAAGGGCAGTACAGATAGCAGTATGTATAGAGGGACTTACCCATGAAGAAAAGCTAGAAGAAATATTTATTAAGCTAAAAAAACTACTAAAGCCATGCTGTAACAAACACAAATAATTAAGGGTGTCAAGGATAAAGAAGAAATTGCTTAATGGTACAGGGAGGAATAACTGGAAATTATGGAGTGAAATGGAGCCAGTTAGGCTGAACTTCAGGGGAAAAAATGCTTAAACATGCAATTGATGCAATAATCTTCCAAAGGAGGAGTTGGCATCCTTGTTCAAATTACTCAGACTTGAGCAAGACAAAACTATATTGAAACATTAAATAAAGTAGTGAAGCCATTCTGGATCAAAGGAAATAACAAAAAGGCAAAGTATACAAAAATTTCTGGGGAATATCAGGCATTGGTGTAAATGTGAATTGGATAAGATTTATTTTTTATCATACATTTTGGTGTGTCACTTTGATCCATGATCAAGAGTAATCAGTACCTGTCTGACTTTAGTTTCTGGAAGAAATCTGCTAGTCTGAAATCTGAGGTGCTGCTCTTTACATTGTTGCAAGTAGCTCTACCTCCCATATAGGCTTTTAGCCCACATCAGAGCCCTTCCTATCAGTAGTCCTCTGTCTCTCAGCTCCAGTTGACAGTTAGTTTAGTGAGTCAGGCACTCTTACTTCAGCACTTCTGTAGCTATGGCAGCAGAAGCAAGATCCAAATGAAACATGGGGCACTATAGTGACTGGAGTATGCCTGATTGATTCTGCGGCAAGCTTGCCCACAGGATCTTGACCCTCCTTCAAGACCAAGAGAGTCCCACAAGTCTGATGACAACAAGAACCTGTGATCCTGATGGGCTGGGCAATATGCTGTTTGGTATTCCGCGAGATGATTTACTGAGTCAGCAAGCTTAATCTGATTAAAATGGATGACTTAAGTCTTTACTGCCAGGGGGAATGAAAGCTGAAAGGAGCTCTTCCTGCAAATGTATTTGTGACTACTAAGAATACCAACGCTGTCCAGCTATCCACTTACTATAAAGGACAACTCACGTACTTCTTATCCTTTAGGAAGTTCATCTAATGTATACCATTTTTCTCTGATCTGTTGGGTCCTGAGGAAACTGAATTCAGTGGCTCTGATTCTGATCACCCCCAATTTGGTAGAAATGATCAGGATGATCCTGTTGGAGAATAGATGTCCTTCCTAGTCTTGAGTCAAAGCCTCCATGTGTTGACTACCAGAAAAGGTACTAGAAAAGCTGTTTAAAGATCTGGATTGCAAAAGAGAATCTCTGGCTTGCTAGGCTTTGTCAGGCAAGGTAGTTTCCACCTTGATAAATTCAAAGGCCTCTACAACCATCCTACCACAAAACACCCTTCCCCCTTTCTCCCCCCCTCCCACTCCTATTATTTGTATCAGATTGAGAGAGAAGTTCACAGATTTCAAAGCCAGAAGGGACCATCATGATCATCTAGTCAGACCTGCACATCACAGGCCGCAGAACTGCAACCACCCACTCCTGTAATAGGCCCATAACTTCTGGATGAATTACTGAAGTCCTCAAATCGTGAGTTGAAGACTTCCAAGTTACAAAGAATCCACCATTTGCTCTAGTTTAAACCAGGAAGTGTCCCAAGTCCCATGCCACAGAGGAGAGTGAAAAACCCAATGTCACCTGGGGGTAGATTCCTTCCTGATCCCAAATATGATGATCAGTTAGACCCTGAGCATGTCAGCATGACCCACCAGCCAGACACCTGGGAAAGAATTCTCTGTAGTAACTCAGAGCCCTCCCCATCTAGTGTCCCATCACCAGCCGTTGGAGATAGTTGCTGTCACAGATGGGCTGCATGCCATTGTTGGCTGTCTCATCATACCATCCCCTCCGTCAGTTTATCAAGCTCAGTCTTGAAACAATTTAGTTGTTTTGCCGCACTATTCCTCTTGGAAGGCTGTTCCAGAACTTCTCTTCTCTTTGATGGTTGGAAACCTTTGTCTAGTTTCAAGCCTAAACTTGTTGATGGCCAGTTTACATCCATTTGTTCTTGTCAACACTGGCACTTAACTTAAAGACCTCTCCCTCCCTGGTATTTTCCCTCTGATGCATTTATAGAGAGCAGTCATCTCTCCCCTCAGCCTTTGTTTTGCTAGGTTAAACAAGCCAAGCTCTGTGATTCTCCTCTCATAAGGTAGGTTTTCCATTCTTCTGATCATCCCAGTAGCCCTTCTTTGCACCTGTTCCAGTTTGAATTCATCTTTCTTAAACATGGGAGACCAGAATTGCACATGCTATTCCAGATGAGATTTCACCAGTGGCTTGTATCATGGTAATAATACTTCCCTATCTGTCCCTAGTTTCTGGCTCTGTCTCCCAAGGAGGCTTAAAGGGCTGATCTTAAGGCTTCCAGGGATTATCTGTCTGTCCTGATGGGCATTTGGGTACTCATAATGGGTTTCTCCCAAGTCACAAGGTTGTTGAAAACAGCAAAGAATATTCCTACCAAACTGTTCCCCGTTGAGCCTGTTTGAAGTCTGGCCTTTGCTTACCCATGGTCTCAGGCACAATACCTAGTTCTCCTATCTCAGCCTACCCTAGTTCACTTGGTACATTACTAGACATAGTCCAGATTCCAGTCTGATGAGCAGCTCTAACTGTTATAAGAAGCACACGGGATCTTTATAGGGGAGAAGGCAGAACACCGCATTTATTGAGAATACAGGAGTTAGCATATGCTTTTCAATCTCTCTCTCTCACACACACACTCCTGCCAGTTGATGTTTATAGTTACCAGTCCAGAGTCTGGATCAATCTAGTGGCCAGCCAGATTGGTCGCAGAGGGGAGTAGGGCTCTGTCGGTCATGAGCCGATGCTCCTGGAGTGTGGCAAGACGAACCCAAAGTTCCATGGCCAAGCACCCTGTTCTTACCGTCTTTTTTTTCTCTGAAGTCTCTGGATTTTGCTGTGTCAGTTTGTGACTGGGTTACTCCTTAATTGGTGTATCTTTTGATGTAAACATTCCAATACACCTCCGAGAGGGTCCTCCTGTCCTGGTTCTGATCCAGCCTTCATCTCAGGGTCGTCAATCTGCCCTTCCTTCATTATGGATGCATGTTGATGATTCTCTGGTGTCCGTTAAGTCTCTTCACTCCTTCTTCCATGACCATCTGGCTATAACAATGGCCTTCACACCTTATCTTTTCCTTATGCATACATTCCTCATTCACACAAACAGTCTTTTACAGAGACCTTTGAGAATACCAATAGTGTCAGTTTATTTTG